TAAAAATTTAGCAAAAGCTAATTCTAAAGCACTAACACTTAAAAATTTAGCAAAAGCTAATTCTAAAGCACTAACACTTAAAAATTTAGCAAAAGCTAATTCTAAAGCACTAACACACTTAAAATTTTAGCAGAAGCTAATTCTAAAGCACTAACACACTTAAAAATTTAGCAGAAGCTAATTCTAAAGCACTAACACACTTAAAAATTTAGCAAAAGCTAATTCTAAAGCACTAAAAACCCAGCTGAACCATGGAACACTCCTCAGAGTCGACATGAGAATATTTTCTGTGTGCAGGATATTTTTTATATTTTATCTGTGTAGTGGTTCCCAAAGTTGGGGTCAGGACCGCTTTGTGGGTCACAAAACATCAAGTGAGGGTCCCCAGATGACTTCTAGACATCAATTTAAATGCAAAAAAATGCTAATGGAGTATTTTCATCATGATTATTGCATTTTTTAAATAACCACAAATGAATAAAAATTAGTATCATAGTTACCAGGTTTGTCTAATTATTCCCATATTTAACAAGCAAAGTTTGTATACGTAAACAAGTAATATATGGGGTCATGAGTGTCTGCAACTGTTATTTTGTGGGTCGGAAGCAAAAAAGTTTGAAAACTACTGATCTAGTAAATAAGTAAACAACATGTCTGATAGCTTTCACCATCAGCTGTTGACAATAATGTTGATCAATAACATTTAAAGAACTAAATTAGTGCTTATAAATTTAGCAAGTGCTAATCCACTAATAAATTAAGAAATTAGCAAAAACCCTGAAGCACTAATCAGAAAATGAGTTCCCCTATTAGTGCTTTAGTGCTTTAGAGGAACTGTGCCCACCACTGGTGTCAGTCAAATTATTCTTTAGTCATATAAAGGCGTAATGCACACATGGATGTTACAAAAGACAGGCTCTAAAGATGTAACAATAAAAGAGTATTACAAAAATATATTTCTGCTAACCAGAAATCATGACAGAGCCCCTCCCCCTCCTGCCTTTAATGGCAGGGCCTCTGTGGCGTTATAAAAAAACCAGCCCACATCTCCACAATACATGCTGAGCTATYTGAAAAACGCAGTCCTCCCACCTGCTCCTAAAGAACTCAAGTTGCTTATTTGTTCAGGCTTCAGGGACGACACTGAAACCGTTCTGGAGAAATTGTCTGAATCATCTGAAAAACCGTCTCATGAAGGCAGCACATCACAAAGCTGAGCTTCATAAAGCAAAAGCCACAAAAACACACATTAACCTAATTTGGGAGAAAATCCTGCTACAGGGAGAACTGATGTGTCGCAGCTTTTCTCTGACCGCTTCTCTCATTTTACGTCAGCTTCTCTCATTTCAAACCATCTTTTTTTTCTATTCTCCTCACTAATCTGGTTTCTGTCTTTAGCTACATTATCAGTCACTGTCTCCACATCACTCTGAATGACCTCACCAAATATTTCCCATTTATTAGCTTTTTGTCATGACTCCTACATCTTATCTTAGTTTTTGATGRCTGCAGGCTTTCCCTTCTTGTCCTCTCACAGGGGTAGAATGCACCACTTATAGCTCTTATTAATTTAGAAGAGGACAGACTGGAACAGGGCGGTCATTAAGAGGGTGGGTGAACTTCAGAGTGCAGCATGAAGAAAAAGGGAAGGACAAAATGGAAACACTCCATGTTGAATTTAGAWATGTACTGAGAAACTCGAAAGAACGAGAAAACTTGGACTCTGTTTTGTCTTGTCATCTATGAGGAAGATTTCCAACCCCCACAAAAATAAAACTTGTTTCCAGCTTTTAGGACACAAAGCCAGATTCAAGCCCTTGATGTTATTTTTGTTGCTCAAAAATTAAATCTATTCCATAATTTGCCGCAACACAATTTGCAACTCCTCATTAAAGCCAAAGACATGCAGTCTGGTTATGATCACTTTCAAAAACTGCTAATGAACACAGAGCTCGAAGCAAACTATCAATGATTCTTAAGCTGAATTTGATTTGAGATTAGCTTTCAATTGCCCATAACTCTTAATATTGTTTTCTAGTGGGTTGAAAAGTCCTTCTCCTTGGCCTCTTCAAAGTCCTCTCACACCTGAGTTTTAGCTTCTGTAAAAGTTGCAGCTCTTTTGGTCACTTTGTCTCTATTAGCTGGAGCTCTAAAGATCTCCTCAACTTGACAAGTTGTCCACTTTTTGCAGCCAACAACTTTCAGACTATGACTCCTGGAAGCCACATTCGCAATACTGGCTCTAAAAGTGGCTCGCTTAGATTTCACGTCTGCATTAAAAACTCTCAGAGAGGCTTGAGCTGAGTCACACAATCTGGATTCTCTGCCCAACAAACCCCTTATTATCCTATATCTGTGGATTTATTTCTATTTGCAGTGTTCACAGTATGAGTGTATTTTTTATTATAAATTCTATTATTGTGAGCTTTGTGTGGAGAGGTGAATCCAAGGGTGCAGACAAGGAGGCAGCGGGCAGATATGATGCAAAGATTTTAATCTAAAAATTAAAAAGATAAACAGGGAGGTGGGACAAAAACAAAAACAAACAAACAAAAAAAAAAACAAAGGTCCAGAGCAGAACCATAACAAAAGCATAAGAGAGTCTGTCAGCCACAGAATTAGACTAGAGAGTTTATTGCATGCATGCTGACATGCATGACTGCTGACTGATAGAGATGGTTTATTACAGACTCATGTCCTCTGGCGCACTGCCAATGTGAGTTAACAGAGTCGCCGTAAAAACAGCTAAATCCCCAGAAACGCTGCGGCTACAGATGAGTCGTACATACGTTTTACTTACAGACTACATAAGTTACATACATTTACCATAAGTTAATATTTCTGGTTACTTTACATTTTGTTTGCAAATTTTACCTTTTGTTCCATTTGTTTTGTTCCGTCTTCTGTGAAAATAAAGTGCTCTGAATAATGCAGATGAGAATACTTACAGTAGCGGTTGCGTGTGTGTGTGTGTGTGTGGGGGTACCTTGTCAT